TAAAAACAACATAAGGTATTGACTTGGATGAATGTTAATATTAATATACACTATTAAACAAGAGAGAACGAAGAATTCATCCTATTTGTGCAGTACATGTGTTCAAAGAATGTTTGGAAATAGCCGCCGCATGAATCGATCTATTATATCTCATTTATTATTTGCCTTAAACCAGGGTTGACGGAGGATATTTTATAATTGATTAAGGATCGTCTTTATTGTCATATTATGTAATAAAAGGTATTTTGATTCTGTAATTTGTTTTGATAATCCATGTTGCCAGGTTTTTTTTAATACAAAGGGATAAACTACTTTCACTGAAAACAAAGAATCTTTTTGAGATTAAGTACAAATTTCTCAGAAAAAATATCTTTTATTGCAAATAAATGTAATTGATATGCATTACTAAATATAATTGTGTTGATGTGTCCATTTTGATATAACATGCCATTCAAATGAGAAGGCTGATGATCAATCATCAATCATATTAAAATGATAAAGTAACAAAATTATGTAAACAGTTGAAAGGTTTAGTATAACTACAAATTATGAATACCTGAAAGTGAGGTAGTTTGAAGCTATGCAAAAATGAGAGTGAAAAATTTATTTAGAATTTAGAACTACAGATTTTTACCATGCTTAAGGAATCATTGTTATTTACTGACCTTGATTGTAATCGACATACAGCGACCCTTTATAGAACCAAGAATTCCAACAACATCTGAAAATACATACAATAGGGAACCAACGTCTATCTATAAAGGTAACAATATTCGACCGTCTCTCAGTCATGCTAATACATAGTTACATACAGATCAGGGGAGCATTTTAAAAACCTACAATAATGAAGTGCAACGTCCATTTCCAGACCATATCCAGTTCCGGACATCTATGGTTTAATAACGTTCATTGCTTTCACCCCAGTTGTCGTTTTACACGACACGAAATCTAATGTAAGATCGGGGAAGTGCATGCTGATGTGTAGATCAAGTTGCTTGTAATTCAGGAGAGATTGCTTATTATAATCATAAGTCTCGTATGAATAATACTTAAAATACACATGTAAACGATTACCAGCCTTCAAAGTTTATACATGTAACACTTCCATTTCATAGTCCTGATATACGATAATATGCTTTGTTCATTTTAATTTTACAATGCTGATTTATCTTTTTTGATTAAAAATCTAAATGTTAAGTCTAATGAAAGAATAACGGTGAGATCTATTCTAAGAATAGACTTGTAGAATGATCCGTGTTTGCTCTGCTTTTGTAGACTTTAACTTTGATAATTGTTTTATCATCATATTTCATTTCTAGGAGAAATAAGTTTATTTCCTTTTTTAAATTGTTAAGACTTGGTCCAATAATTGGCTGATTTTTTGACATGTTACGACGAAGGGCTTCAGAAAACATTACTAAAAAAATTGTGTTGATTTGTCCATTTTTAAATTTTATGCCATTCGAATGAGAAGGCTTGTGATCAATCATTTATCAAATTAAATTGATAAATAAAAGTAATAAAATAATGTAAACAGTTGAAAGGTTTAGTATAACCACAAACTATGAAACCCTGTCAGCGAGGTAGTTTGAAGCAATGCTTAAATGATCTTAAAAATTTATTTAGAATATAGAACTACAGATTTTTATCATGACTAAGAAAGCATTGTTATTCACTTACCTTTACCTTGATTGTAATCGACATAGGAACCAAGGAGAACTCTTACAACAGGTAAAAATAGTCGCGCATGGCACGCATTCAATAGGAATTCAACATCTATCTATAAATCTAAAATATTCGACCGTCTCCCAGTCATGCTGATACATACAGGTCAGGGGAGCATAAAAATTCTCCACACAACATTAAAAATCCCCCTACAATAATGAAGTGCACCGTCCAGTTCCAGACCATATCCGGTTCCGGACACCTATGGTATAAAAACTTCCATTTCCTTCACCTTAGTTGTCGCCAACTTTTATACGACAAGATATCTAGTGTAAGGTCGGGGTAGTAGATCAAGTCCCTGTGATTTCAGGAGAGATTGATTATTATGAGTCTTGTTTGAATAATACTGAATACACATATAAACGATAACCAGCCTTGTCCATTTATACATACAATACTTCAATTTCATAGTCCTAATATATATACGATTATATATTTTGTTCATTTTAATTTCACAATGCTGATATACCTTTTTAAAATTAAAAATCAAAATTTTAATTCTGATGAAAGAATAACGGTAAGACCTATTCTAAGAATAGACTTGCAGAATGATCAATGTTTGCTCTGCTCGGATTGACTATATTTTTAATATTGCTTTATCATCATATTTTATCTAGAGGAGAAATTAGTTTATTTTCTATTTTTGATTGTTTAAAATAGGTCCAATAGTTGGCTGATTTTTTTAACATGCTACGGCGAAGGACCCCCCCCCCCCTTACATCCCAAATCATACAAATTATATAAATTATATTTATAATTTTGTTTTTCGCGCATCAAAAAGAAATTCTTGTATTATGAATTAAAGTTACCGTATATAAGTCCAAAAAGCTTTTTTTTCATATTTATGTGTTGCCCGCCGAGCGGATCTCTTTACCTGGCTTCTGTTTGTTTGTCTAGCTGTCTGTCCGTCTAGCTGTTCATCTGTCACAACCTTTACTGTAGAAGGTACGGATGTGATATCATATATTAAACTTGTGATTAAGGCTTTTGTATTTTATCTTGGCTTCTGACATACTTATCCTTGAACTTGTCTTTCGGTCCATGGTATGAGACCGTTTAAACCGAGGTCCTGTGTTGAAGAAGGTGCTAACTGGCATGAAAAAGATTCCTACCTGCTCAATGGCCCTGAGTCACGGGTATAGGACAAACTTTGTAGCTCTCCACCGGCAAGTGGTGGCGTCTCCATATGAGTGAAAATTCGAGTGAAAATAAGAGAGATGTTAAGCAACATACAATCAATCAATCAATAGAACTTACCTTGCCTAAACACTTGCAGTTTTTAATATGCTCTCATTTTGAAATTGTAGTCATATGACAAATATTTCGGCAGGGTATATAGAATGGTTTAACTTTTGCAATGCTCTTTCTTCTCCAAAAGCCGTATGTGTAGAAATGTTATGTAACAAAATATACATAAAATATTACATGATTTTGTCAAGACTACAATTGATCTGATTCCTCTGCAAATTTAAAACGTTTGATATTTATTCTTGAAGTGGTCAATTTATTGAGCCAAATGGAAAAAAAAGAATTTTCTCATTAAATACAAATGTTGCCGTTCTACCATGGACTATTTTTTATGTTGGTCCTCAAATTTATCATATGCTTTCAGATTCGTAGTCAAGATACTTAATATCATAAGATCTTTTTATCTAATTTTGAAATATTTTGTATGTCCTTTTATCTAATCCGATTTTTTAACTTAATTCTTGTTAAACAAACTTGTCGTACCGAGGTATCCAATGTATACCGGTGTTCAACTTTATCGGGGTATTACCAATTATTCTTAATGCATGTTGGAAGGTCTAGATCTGTACAGTTAAGAATTATCTGATGGACATTTCACTCGATATAGCATTCCATTTACTCCGCTTACTTTTTACAAGTTAAAGGGCATAATGAGTGAATACTATTTATTTTTATATATCCAAGAACTATGCATATATATAATGATGAAAAGATTACATTCCTTAAAGTTGAAATGTACGGTAGAATTCTTTTTTTTTTTATAAAAGGATCTATCGTTTAAACTACTTGTATATCAGTAGTGATTTAGTTTATGAAATTTTATATTACGGAATGTTGAAGTATGAAATGCAGTTGCATAATAAATGGACCAATTTCTTGTCATTAATTTGAATATTATCAGATAGTTAGGTCGACATAAACCATGTTGCTCATGACCAAGATACGTCTTTAATGTCATTTACTGCGAATACATAAGACTTTGATCTGGTAATTTGTTGTCAGGGTTTAGTCTTTATATCAGGTAAAATGATAAATGATGAATCGATTGGACGAGACACCAATCTCGTCCTTTAACATGGTTTAAACAGAATTATTAGGTATCAAGAGTACGCAAGGAGGATCGAATCGATCTTGTAAACAAACGTTATAACAGATATAACCTGCACGATAATGTAATTTTCCGTAATTGTTCTTTGGGTAAGTCTCATGTTTTTTGTGATATTTTATGATGATAAAAAATTTTGAATTTTACACTGAAAAGATCTTAATTGAGAAAGAAATTCGTATTCTTTCAGTAGATTTTAAAGTATTAGGGCTACAAACGCCATATTTACTCAGATGAGAATTATCTATTCCCAAGGAAAAAGCATTTAAATTTTCCAGGAACATATTGGTTTTCTTCATACTCTGGTTTATACGAAGAGTAAACATCTACTGTTAAATCATATATTTTGTGGGTTCAAATTTTCGTGGGTTAAGAAAAAGCTATTGCGACGTAGGGATTTGATTTCACAGATGAAGAACTGTTTAGTACTGTTTTGTATTTTAAATGTTAAATTTTGTGGTGATCTTGAATTCATGGGTCTCTGTATACCTCGAAAAACAACGAAAATTTACCACCACAAAATACGTTTTTTCACAGTATATACCATTTTATTTTCATATGCAATATTATACGTTTTCTTGTTGACTAAAAAAATTGATTATCCTTCTAAAAAGTATTTTAAAATAAAGGATGAATAAACCTTAGTTCAATTAAATAAAAATGATACATTTGTAGCGTAAATGAATCACTGGCCAATTAATTCAAGCAAATTCAATGAATGCAATTTTTATTTTGAAGTGAAATTTCATAATTTCGGGACATTATACAGTCTATTTGAATTAGTGTAGTACCAACAGTAGAATAAGACAAAGGTTTGTCCTGAGTAAAACTGTTTTTATTAGATAATCAACAAAGGTTATTATTCGTGATTAATTTGCTCGAAATATAAAAAACATATGGTGAAACTTGATAACTATAAATAATGGTTGTTTGTAGTGAAATGAAGATGTTAATAGTGGTCCTTCTACTAAGTTTTGGAGCTCAGAATGTTGCCGGTATTTATGGAGGATGCATGAGTTACTCCACAACAATAGAGTCTTCTGGGCATTTGAAGGTAAGAGAGTGTATATGTAGTAAATTTTATGAAAAAAAATTATCATTTCAAACCTTTTCAAATTTGCTTAAGATGGTTGTATCCTTGTTTCCTCAAAAGTACTAGTAATGATTTTTTTTTCAAGTATATGTTTGTGATCTATACACATAGCTTAACTAAAAATCAAAATCAAAACAGGGTCAATTCGCTTCTTTCGGCGCAACGTTGCATTTAATTTGACCGTTTTGCACTGTAATTCCATATATGTCAAACACATGAATCAATTTTTCAAAATCTTCTCTAATATTTTTTACCCAAATAAAAAATGGGAACAAACAATTTCCTCTTTCGTCTTGAAAACTCACTTTAAAATTTGTGACAACAAAATATGTTTTAATTCCTTTGCATGGTTAATTATTTGATATTTTTGCACTCAAAAATGTCAAAATGTCACTTTTCTGGCATAAAAAAATTAACAAACAATAAAAACATTTGAAAATAATGAAAGCAGAGTGGTAAAAATTATTTCTTATTATTCAGAAAATAAAATTAAAAGTGGACTTCTGTGATGTTAAGTTTTATATTATTATTTAACAAAAATAGTGCTAATTTTTATCCTAAAATAATATATTTTTTCCACAGGACTTTAACAATTTATTTCATTTGTTATATTATGAAACATTTCACATAAAAATATCTTAATTTGTAAGCTGCATGTAAAAGAGGATATAAACTGAACAATACTGTAAATATTTCGAATGGGGAAAATTGATCATTTTCGTATATGAAACTTTCAGACACAAAATATAGTTCATATTTTTAATTATTGGGTTTTGACTGAATACAGTTTAATGAGCATTGCAGAAATCCAAATTTATCGTAAGAACTGAAACATTATGCATGATTTTATAAATACACTATAGAGGTATAGACGAAAATCTGCTCAAAAGCTCAGGAACCAGTCTCTTTAAAGACCCCTTGGGAAGCAAGGGAAGGAAAATCTCGATACATAGACCTAGTAGCCTTAGTGTTTGTTTACATGATGTTCGAGTTACTGTTTGACGTTAAAGGTAAATCTGGAAATTGTCGATGAATTCCGAGGACGGAAATGATGGGATTGCATGGATACAGATGATTCAGCAGGTAATCAGGGGTGTGTCCCCATACCAAACCAGGTTATACAGAAATAATTTGAATTGTGTTCCCTTTTGGATATTAACCAGTCAGAGACTAGAATAAGCAAAATTAGATTATATAAAATAGAACAACACAGACCCCCGCTTTTTTCACGTATTTCATTTTCTAGATATGTAATTAAGATAATTTTATCCTTTCTTCTTAAATGCTTAAATTCAGATAAATGTCATTACATTCAAATGATTTTATCAGGGACTTGATTTTATTGCTTTGAAAAAAATTAACATAGATAACATTTTTTGAGTACAGAAAAGTCAAATGATTGATTATTTCGAGGTAATTGAAACTATTTTTGTTGTCAAAACTTTTAATATGACAATTCAAAATGAAAAAAGACTGTGTTTGTTCCAATAAGTCATTAGGATAAAACCATTCAAGGTAAAACCTGATTTAACAAAAAAAAAAAATAAATAAATGACTCATTTAGAGTGAAAAAAGGTGATATTAATTGCTCCATATTGCTAACACAGGCGCACTGACCCCTACTTGACACGAAAATTTAATACTTTTGAGAACAGTTTCCCGCCTCCTGAAAACTAAATGTTCATTAATTTTATTAGTTCAATATTCAACATTCTAGCACTATGAAATCACTAATTTTCGTTGGGGTATAGGTTTAATTGATTTTCTCGAAATGTGAAGAGACCCATGAATTTATGACCACCACGAATTGTAAAATTTTGCATGCATAACTTCTTATTATGCAACAGGATACCTTCATCACCTGCATACGGAGTTTACATACATTGTATCTCAGTTGATTCGATACGCAAGAGTATGCTCTACGTATGAACAATTACTAAAACAGGGTATATTATTAACATTGATGAAGTTGATGAAACAAAAAATTTCAGCAGTCTTGTTTAAAGTCATCATTTCGTAAGTTATATGGTCGATACAATGACCTTGTTAGCAAATACAGTTTATCATTGAGTCAAATGCTGACTGAGGCTTTTCATATGAATTTTAAGTCCATTATTTATACACTGAATTGACGACGGATTTTTCCGTTATTTCCCGATCGTGACAAGGAGCACATGGCAGGTGTGACCGGTCGGCAGAGGATGCTCACTCCTCCATGGCTCCTGATTCCACATCCGAAATTTTTGGAGGTACAACTTTACACTACTCTTATTTTGTATTTTTTACGGACTTTTGATTTCAAATACTGTTCGTTATCTGAATATGTTTCATTTAAAACCATTGTCCAAGCACAAAATCAAATCCGTAAAAACCAAACTTTTATCTCAGACCTCGAAATCTGACTTCACGAAATATTTGATATCCTCACTTTGATGTGCGTAGCAGCATTTCTAAGCATGTCCGATTGCGTTTGTTGCCGCATATTAACAAAATGATTTTAAAATAATATTACAATAATAGACCATGTTTAAACAATGTTTACTGAAATGAATCATCGGATCCACCCAAAAATTTAGGACCACAATAGGTGATAACATCTGTGTGTCTAAATAGTAGGAATAATTGGTTGTTAATCACAGTATACACAGTCACATGCGAATGTTTCACATGTCTGGGTGACGACAGGTTAATTACCGTATGCATAGAACATTTGGAATTTTTTCTGAAAAGTTTTTGATAAGAATATGTACTTTAATATAAGAAAAAAAAAAACACCCCAGTAACTGAGTTCGATCGAATGCCCGGTAAAACGGGTAGTCGTTGACATCCCTAATTTTCTGCTAGTGTGATTATTTTATTTATTCATAACAGGTAAAACTATTTTTCTTGAATGGTTGGAAGATAGATAAAGGTCCGTGTCGTACATGTACTGCGGCAGATAAAGGATCAGATGTGACACAAAGAAGAAAGCTATTAATACAACAGACAAATAATCAAGAAATGTTTGGAAAATGGGAAGCCGAAGTTTACAGTCAGAATGGGAACGCATCATATATTGATAAAACAAGAATAGTAAATAATGTTTCTACAGACGTAGTACTCATTGTAGGTGAAAAAGAGGGATGGGAATTGATAGGTTCCGAGATATCTCTTGACTTTGATTTAACAGTCAAGGAATTTGACATCACGTAAGTTTCTACTGAAGTTAGAGATAATTGAAATAAATCTTACAAATCACGTACTAGCAACCCTTTGATGTATTAATCTTTAGTTTAACGTGAGAAATATTGTAAAATCAACTTTGACGATTTATCTGAGTTAATGTCGTTATGAAGTCATCTAAATATTGTTAATTTCCTTGAAACTGTTATGTATCTTTTTTAATAGGCTCAATAGCTCTTTAGATGTCTCAATGACACTTTTACCTGTAATTCGTCACATCAACCTTCAAGTAAAGGTGGAACCAGGAATAAGAAATGACACAAACAGACCTAACAGAAGTCCAATAGTTCTTGTGAAACCTTTATATAGGTAAATTTATCAATGTTCTTTATCCTATTACATGCTTATATAATGTACATGGCACAATCAGATTGAATAAACCTATATAAAATGGCTTCTTCAAATTAAATGGTAACTAACTAATTACATTTTTAGAATCGTTTTTTTATGAGTAGAAACTATTGAGAATTCGGAACATTTTCTTTTTCCTTCTATTAAAGCAGTAATTGAAAAGAACAATTCAGCTCTTAAGGAAGGCCCATACTTTTACGGATCCGGTTTTAATTTTACACATCAATATAAAATTCTGATTATCACTTATCTCTTGAAATAAAATCTTTATGGGTGATTGAAAATAATTTAGCAAGTATTTTTTTGTTTATTATAGTGTTATTGTGCATACAAAGCATTTAATATACATTTATGGAAATTAACACTTTGCACTCTGTCCATAAGATCTATATGTCATTTGGTACATACACAGACACAAATTTCTAAATTGCTTTTATATGAACCTAAATCTTTTTAATTTTCTTTTTAGCCATGGCCAACTAACCTGAGATCTATTTTTCTTAATTTGAAGCCTATGTCATCCATTTAATTTTTACTTTTTAAAAATTTTGCAATGAACGATTGAAAAAAAATTATATTCCAAAAATGGGGATATACGTCTTCAAAAGACTTTTTGTTAAAATTCTCTGGTCAATCATAATAAAGTATGTTTTTTTTGTTAACTTTGAGATATAATTCTTAATAGTTTTAAAGAAAAAATGGCATCTAAACAGTTTGAATTTTGAGAATTATAAAAAATAAAGATATTTTGAGATTTTTTCTGGAAGACATGGTCAGATTCAACATCAATTTGCTGATGTTTTGCAGTAAAGATTTCAAATATACTCTTGGCAAATGAATATTTTTGATCTTCATAAGTTTTTACATAAATTTGATGTGATTTGGTGCATAACTAAATAAAATATGATATCACACTTCTTTATGTTCAATTGTGGCTGTAGAGTTTTTAGAGGTATGTGCTCTGAGACAAGTTGTATGAAATTAACCTGCAAATATACACTTAACAAAACTTCTAAGTGTTCACTTTAATAAATGTTTTTATTTAAAAACTACTTAATAGAATTGTATGATATTTTCATATTATTACAACAAATGAGTCTTCTCAACAATTTTAGAAAGAAAATAAACTATCACCGATGAAAACCAATGTTCCGTGTACTTTGCGGCACTTGTTCTGTGTAATAAGCATATTTTTGTGATCATTCTCAAATTCTAAAAACTGGTTTCACTAAAGAACACAAAACATTGGAAAAATGACCATTGAGATAGAAGGGAGAGCCATTGGAATGTTGATATCTGGACGATCATTGCACCACTTTTACTTACTTTTATTTTAGTGCTTAATTGTCCTTGATATTACTTTTAAAAATTAAAAACACGTATCAAAATCCATTAAAACACATTTTTCAATAGGCTATGCGTCATTTTTCATCGCCAATTATAACAATTTGAAAGTTTTGGACAAAATTTGACCAAACCGGAAGTGACCTTGATTTTCGTCTGAGGTCAAATTTTCGCGTCACACTGGGTTAAATGAGTGTTTAATTGTCCTGAAACAATCTTAGAAACATGAAAACAAACAATTTCAATCGTATGAAAATGATAAGAAATCGGTGTTCGTGACAGTCAAATATCATCTCAAGCAGTCTGAATCATGCTCAAAGCGGTGCACTTGCGTGCTAAACGCGCAAGGATATTGTCCAAAAGGCATCTGTGTGATGATGCAATGTCAAATTCCCAGATCTGAATCCCATTGAACACATTTGGGATTTTTAAAAGGAATATCAAAGCCCCCCCCTTCCACAAAATTTCAATGGTTTGCAAAGATCTATGCAGTAGGTGTGGCAGCAGAGGTGTCAATCTCCTATTCAGGGGTACATGGTATCCAACAGTAAAGGATGTCATGCAATAATTAGAGCAAGTGGTGGTCTTACTCCATAGAGATTATTTTGTGTGAATTTTCATTTTGAGGGTACGTCATTTCCTTAACACTTTGCTTAAAATTCCGACGAGATACTTACATGAAATTTACGTAACATCGAACTGAAATATGCATCATTAACCATGAATTAAAGAAATTATTTATTGTATGCATTTGTTCTTTAAAACTAAAAAAATGTCAGGTGAACACTTAGAAGTTTGGTTCAGTGTATGTCTTTTATGGGTGTTTTAGTTAGTCTAAGACTTATTCAAGTTATTCAAATTAAAAAATTATCAGTTTTACAGAAAATTTTGAAAGTACGGACCTACCTTAAATCGAGGCAGGCCACTGACAGATCAGTTAATGTTACAGAGATATCAACAACCTTCTTAGAAATGACAAAAAAGGAAAATAATGAGTTTTTTTCAAGAATCATCGAGTCTAAAGAGGCGATGCTTATGTGAAAGCTTACATACATAGAAAACATATCATATTATTCATTCTAATACGCTCTCTAAATAAGGATTGGTTTACACTAAAGGATCATCAAATTATTAAAATAATTGTATTGAAAAAAACATAACATTTTTTTTATTTAAAAAAAAACCAACAAGATTAGAAATGGATTTTTTTTCAAAGCTTTAAATAACAATTTTCAATCTCATGATTTCATTTAACAAAATGAATATTGGACTAAATAAGGATTTCTATGGAGACACCCGATCAGGAGTAATTTCCCCTTATTGACTGGTCACGCCCTCCTCATATACTAATTTGATTAATTGATTTGGGGGCAAATTAGTGGATAAGCATTTTATATAATATAAATAAATGTTTGATGAAAAAAGAATTCCAATCGAGGTAAAGCCAGCAACAACATAGATAGTGAAAACAATTTCCTTGTATGTATATTGGGAAAAGTTTTTTTTTTAAGTTGTGGACCTCAGGGTCAAAATAGAGGAATCAATTTTCATAATGAATGTATACAGGACAAAACTATTTTCGTTATCTCCATATCCTTCTTGATTCAAAAAATATCGTTTATGACCGATAGGGCCAAGGATTATGTTATTTTTAAGGGAAAAAAGAGTAGAAGAAATTTGTTTTCTTTTTAATCTTCCTCTGAGGAACTAGATGGCCAAAGTTACTCAGATGAGTGTTGAGGATCACCGACATCACTTGTATTTGTGATTTATTTTTATGCGCCCGGATCGATAGATCCAGGGCGTATATTGTTTTTGTCCTGTCTGTTTGTCTGCTTATCTGTTTGTCTGTTTGTCTGTCGTCAACTTTAACCTTCACCATAACTTAAGAACCATAAGAGATAGAGCCTTCATGTTTGGTATGCATAGTAGAACTCCACTAATAAAGTTCTTTCAAATGACATCAAGGTCAATGACCTTGTGACCTTGACTGTGAACTATATGCTAAAAATATCTTTTTCGAATTTTTGCCATAACTTTTGAACCATAGGAGATAGGGACTTCACATATGGTATGCATACTCCACTAATAAAGTTCTTTCAAATGACACCAAAGACAATGACCTTGAGACCTTGACTGTGACCTATATGCTAAAAATAGCTTTTTCGAATTTTTGCCATAACTTTTGAACCATAGGAGATAGGGACTTCACATACGGTATGCATACTCCACTAATAAAGTTCTTTCAAATGACACCAAAGTCAATGACCTTGTGACCTTGACCGTGACCTATATGCTAAAAATAGCTTTTTCGAACTTTGTTGCTGCCGGGCGCATAGTGTTTCACAAACACATCTTGTTTAAATTTTAGTTTAGAAATAGGGATGATACACACGATACATCTTACTTCCGTTGACAATGATGGAGACGCAATACGCTGTGAGAATTCGGAATATGTGGAATCTTCAGGCATGGGAAATTTTGTAAAGAGCTTAACAAATCAAAGTCTTATTTCCCTTAATCGAACGGTGTGTATAAATTAAATAAGATACTGGAAATGAATCATATGTATAATATATCTAAAATCTTTCCTATTTCATAAGTTGTACTTTTTGGCTTTTCTTCTAGACATGTGTAATGAATATAGATGTCAATCAAAGCTATTTTCATGAGAATGACACATTCGGTGTAGCAGTCACGGTAAAAGACTACGGCACACATCCGTTAACAATTCAGACTACAACACTGGTGCCTCATATTCCATATAAAAACGTTATTGGAAGGGTTGTGGCATTGGTATGTTTAACGATAAAAGAAAAAAAATCATTCCCATTTCATAAACGGCATAAGATTGTCATGTTATTTGGTATCTTTAATGCACAAATCGATATTTTGGGATTAATCTTTTTTTTTTTTTTTTTTGCAAAACTCAAATTTTAGATGTACTTCAAAATTACGGGAAAAACAGATCCCCCTACCATCATTCCACCTACACCAGGTAATAACCAGGAGTACACTATTTATGTTGGAGGAGATTTTCATGTCGATGTTTATGCCAAAGCAACAGTTGGCAGGTATAGTTTGGAAATATTTGAAAAGTCTCCATATTTTCAAAAGTAATCACTTCTTGACCACTTCTTGTTTTTCTTTTGAAGGAAGATTGTGCGATTTGATTTTCTTCGACGGGATGGTAAACCGGTCAACCATACAGAAATTCAAAATGCATCTAATATCAGTGATAATGCTGTATTTATATCAATGAGCTGGTCTCCAACAAAAGTTGACAAAGGCCATCATATCCTATGTGCAAATGCTGAAGATAATGAAAGGTGACTTCAAAATACTAAAATATAACAATATTGGCAGAGATTATGAAGTATGTTTGAAAAAAAGTGTTCGTAATATTCTGACAGATACTTTCGTACCTACTGGTAAACAATTTTTAAAAATATAATTCGACTGCACCGTCTTTTTGAGCAGTAAATGAGATTCACGGTGGGTTTAATCGACCGAGAGGAAATTCATTCTCTCAATAGAGAAACACCGACATCTTACAAACGAACGTAACTCGCCCTAACTTCCCGTATAGTTTTCTCGGGACCAGTGGTTGCACCCATATAAATTTTAAAATCGGAAGAAATAAGTATATGTGTAAAATAGAACAGATAGTGTTTTAACCACGTTGTATTTGAAAATTGCTCATGTCAAATTTATTGTAATCACTTACAAAGTTTTAAAAAAGCGAACAAATAGTATTAGTTACACAGTCAGTTAGTGACCTAATACGGATTCATACAGGGTGTGAAATGGACATCCGTATTAGGTCACTAACTGACTGTGTTACGAATTTTTCCCGCTGAAGACCTTTTTCAATATAAAAAAAAATATTTGTATATTATGAAAATATTAAGTTTTAATCCAATAACAATCAACATATAATGTCGTTACGGTAACAAGAAATTTAACTAAATTACCTACGTAAACCGTTTCAAAGACGCCATTTTCATTTACAAAAGCAACGCTTCGACCGTAATCACGTGGGCGATTTTCAAATTACTCCTTGACGGCGACGTAATACGGAAAATTTCAGGGCGTCATGTGATCAGCCTTTATCCAATCAGCAATTTACAAATTTGTCTGAAGCGGGATAAAAGAAAATACACCGTAATACTTTAGACGGATTAGGAAACACGTTTGTCATGCGTCAGTGATTTTACAAACTACTCGTAGTGTACGCCTTATGGAGAAAGATTAATTTTTACAGCTTGAAAATAAATAAATCCGTGCAATCAAGTAAATAAGTAGTGCGGTACATGTTTATAAGAAGAAGCTTTATCAACGACAAATTACGAACGGGCTTCCCCTTGGATTTATAATATGGCTATAATACCTGTGTATTAAAGCCATATTAATTTTATTTTTCGCAGCATGTAGTATTTTGAACAAGAATTTCTTTTAAGTTTTTAGTTTTATGCAATTTAGTTTTAGACCATAACTCCTTACTGTCCCGACCGCCCTTCATAAAGTGCCCCCCCCCCCCTTTTCGACCCCTACTAGATCCGCACATACTATTTTTTTTTATTTCATGCCACAGAATGACATTTTTAAAATTTTCCTTTCATTTCCCTTCTCGAACCCCTTTGCTCGTTTATATGTCCATTGAAATGTATTGTAGCGTCACGGTAGCGACTACGACAAGACGTGGCTTTGAGGTATCTTGTGGGGATTTTATCTATCGAAATCCCAATAAAATTGAAGAATTCAATAATGCAACCGTGAATACAATAGACTACAATGACTGATCCCCGTTTTTGGTTACGTTCGTTCGTAAGATGTCGGTGTTTCTCTATTGGCCTTTGATCCCAGCTCTGAGATTTCCGGTTGTCCATGTTTTATGCCATGATCTCGTTTTACGTAACCTTTTGGTTGAACTAATGCCTTCATTATCAAGTTATGAACCCTTTCGATGGCAAATGGGTTTTTTTTCCCCCAGAGAAACCATATTCATCATCGAAAGAGATCATGATTGCTTGATATATAGTCAGGACGTGAATGATATAGACACTGAAAAGTACCTGACGATTCAATTTATTTACGAACGTATGTCGTAGAAAAACAATATGCCCATGGGCTTTATAGGTCACCTGAGCATCATGCAACAACTTTCCATGCATTGAATTTGGTTCCTGATTTGAATTAGATGCCATGGCATTCACAATTTTGAAAAAGGCACCATTGCTCATCATAACTTTATACTAGCATTCTTATTTTGGTTACTTAATACCCATAAGCAGAGTAAGGGATCAACAAATGCCTTCCAACTAGTAAGTGATATTCAGCATTATTCAGAAGTATCCCAAACCCAAAGAATTCCCCTACCCTGGGTCAGAATGGGCACCTTTGTTCATCATAAATATTTGATTGATACCAAGGGGCAGATTTCAATGCATTAATTATCTTTCAGTATATATTTAGAGTCCCCCTCTACAGTTCCCTTGAAATTCACAATTCTCACAGAGGAACCCTTGTTTTTTCATGGCTATATAGATAATTCATCTGCTTAATAAGCAGGAACATAGGGATATACTTTCAAAGAATATTGCATTTTCATTTTTATTTAATCAATGGAGTCCCGCCAAAACACCAGAACTCCTGACCCTTTGGCAATGCAATTCATAAATTTCGAAGAGGAATCTTCCTTATCATGACTATGTATGTAGTTAGTTTGTTAAGTTATCAGGAGCAGGGACTATTTTCAAAGAATTAATGTATTTTGACTATATAATCAATAGAGGCCCGCCCTAAGACCAGTTACCCTTCATCCATACATGCTTTATTCTAAAATTGGTCGAAATTGGTTGAGCAAATGCAGAGAAGAAGCTGAAAATGTAAAATATTTAAAATACAACGCACGACCGACGACAACAGTGTACTCATGTGATCTTATAACAATAATATCCAGTTTACAATTCTTAACTTCTCTATGTAGATGATAAATAGAAATTTTAGGAGCTAGGTCCGGATGAAAGTCATCAACTTCTTTTTACTCTTGGATCTTTCATACTTAAAATATTTGTATATTTTGCCTGAAAAAATTGCACCCCATCCCTTCTTATACGACTTTAAATACAACTCGATATGTTTGGACGTTGCTGTGTTGACTTTGGTTTTACGGGACTCTCATCCCTCATCGATAAAACACATTTGATTTAATTCAAATTTTCTTTAAGTTGATACTGGCAAAGAAAATATGAGCTTGTTTAAAGATAATTAATTTTAATCATATTGTTCAAAAAGTGAAAGTAACTAATAAAAAATAACATAATACTTTATTTAATATTTTGTCATCTATTCTGAACAGGACAATGACTGTGGATTTACACTGCTTTCGCATTGTTGTCAAAGGTTTGTGAATTCTAACAAGATACAAAAATATATTTTGGTAGGGAAACTACTGTGAAAGTATGACATTTTATAAGTCACTTGGAAAGCAGAGAATATTGACTATTTGATTTATTGTAAATTGTTTTACGTCCCATTCGAGAATTATTAACTTATACAGAAAAGTACCCATATACCGGGCAATGTTTTCAAAATTGACCTTTAATCGGCACTCAGGACCACTTAGCAGAGAGAGAACATTGTAAGAAAATTTTGAAATTTCTGTTTTCATCCGGAGTCAACTATTGGCAAATACTGACGATTTTTTTTATGAAAACTTTGTTTGAAGAACCTGTTTCAAAAATGTGAATAGTTATCTAAAATTATTTTCACTTTTTTAAAGAATCATTGCGGCTTCCTATAATAACAAGGTATTCGATAACTAACCTAACCCTAACATTACATTTTTTAAATTCAGATTTTAGTTTTTTATGCATAATATTTATGGTATATAGTATAAATATGGTGGTTTCCTTTCTGGTTTCCTATGTAAGATATATATATAGAATATATTTTGGTACAATACAAATTGTCATTGATTCAAATGCTGACTTTTTAAAAATTTATTGTTAGTCCATTATTTATACACTGAATTGACGACGTATATTTCCATTATTTCCCGATCATGGCAAGGAGCTCACGGCGTATGTGACCGGTGTGCAGGGGATGCTCACTCCTACGTGGCACCCGATCCCATCTCCGATGTTTTGGAGGTCCATGTTTGATATGCTCCTATTCAATATTGATTTATTGACTTTTGATCTTGAATACTGTTCGTTATCTTCTGTGTTTCATGCAAAACATTTTTGGATAGAGCAGTAATTTTTCAAATACTAAAGTATTAAAATGATCAGATTTCTTGAAAAGAAAACGATATTTGAAACATGCCTTTCTGTATTTCAGAAAATATATTTCGTCCAACAGCTAAAGAAACAGTAAGTCCAACATTTAATATAAAATAATTTTTAAAAATTTGACTCATTGGTCTAATTTGAAATATGGACCAAGAAGTATTGAAAATTGAGCTTTACGGGGAAAACAACTATTTTACATTTTGCTTTCATCTTACTTTTTAGGAAAAGCCCTATTTTGTGTCATTCCCAGAGCCAACAGATTTAAAATGCAAAAAGGACACCTATTGTCGATTTCCTGTTTATGCGACTACTACACATGCTGGGTATGTACATAAGCAAAACATAAATGTCCTATAATCAAGGTTTAAATAATAATTTTATGGTAGGATTCTTCTCACATTTCTTGTATTTAAAAATTAATGAAATTTTCACAAAATCAAGAGGACATTATCACTATGTGATGGTATCAGTGAGATTAAATTTGATCGTTTCATATTAGAGGCAAAGTCAGGTCAAAGTCATTACCTTTTTCCTGGACATTTAGAATAAAAAATTACTGTTTCCAATCATCCCCATCTGTAATTCAAAAGCTTGAATGTTTTTCTTTTTGCATAAATAATACTACCATATAGGGCCTATAAGATGATATTATCAAATTGACATAGATAATTTAAATAAAATGGATATTTGCTAATCCAAATATCCTCTACTTTTCTTAGATTATTAGGATAGTTCAGTTATTTTCATATGCTGCCTATATTTAACTTTTCCTCATTTTCACATATAATAAAGTTGTCACATAAAGGTACAAAATGATGCAAAAACTAAAAGTTTTGATCGTTTACTAAGATAGAAATAACACTTTTTAAGGATTTTTGGCTCAAATGTGCACTTGGATTTGAAGCATTTAAAAGCCAACATAGTTTTAGTATGTGTGAAAAATCTTATTTATTTGATGTATTTTAACACTTTAGTCCCTTATCATTATTTTAACTTACATTTGAAAATTTCGTCTAGTCTTTGATTGCGTAAAAATTATAACTAAATTCAAAGTTCTATAATAATTTTGAGAGGCAGAAAAGAAGATATTTTCATACGTCACCATTCCGCCAAAAATATGGTCCCTGCTAGTTTTCAAACGCAGTTTACAGTTTCTATTTAAAGTGGTACAATTGTGACTAGGGAAGAAAAATATGGTCTTTTAAATTTCTTACACTTAAATATATAAGAAATATAATCAAATATACTTTAAATATTCCATCCAGTCAGAAACTAGAGAAGAATCCTACCTTAGACTTGAAATATTTTCGTCAGTTCTAAATTCAATTTTTTTAGTTACTTTAACTAGCTTTCTTGCTAATGTTAAAATTTCCTTTCTTAACATTTGAAAAGGAATAAATTAAAATAGACGCAGTTATTATTATTATTATTTTCTGAATTCTAGATAAGCTCTCCCCAATAATAAAAAAAAGTTTAAAGGACATTTTAAGCAAAATTCATCGAATGAATATATACATATGAAGTGTATCTAGTTCATTTTTTTCGCAGAGTGTACGTGCTTTTTTAAAAAAAAAAAACTTGTGTTGAAACGTGTACATTCCCATTTGTCCCCTTTCCAAAGGAATTTTCAGCCCTACAGGAAAAAAACTACCCTACCAATAGAACACTTTTGTGTCCAGTAGAAGTCACTTTTTTAGAGCATGTTAGTACTTTAAGGAAAGGTATAAAAAAGATATAGATTTTTTACAGAGTCAAGAAGACAATATTAACTAAAAACTAAGGTAGCATTCAATTAGATATCATCAGAAGCTACATGCATGTAGGTCATATCAAAACATTTTCAAAATACTGTTACTTATTAGTTGATACTGTTCCTTTTTCAAACATCTATTCTTACATAAAAAGTTGATACAATAGTGATCTATCACATAACAAATTCACAAGGTTACCTTGACTAAATTGAAATTTACTAATCCTATTTTTTTCTCTACCTAAAAAATAATAGGGAGCATGAGTTATTTTTATATCTTTTGCATTACTGCAAAATAATAAAAAAAAAATTATTTTCAGATATAAAATGACACAAAGATAAAAAGTTTTGAATATAAAATAAAAAGAAAAGCATTTTCCCCTTAAACATGTATTGAGATTAGGAGTTTTTCAAAGGCTGACAGAAAGGTGTTTGATATATGTTGTTTGCATAATATCTTACTCTATCTACTTCCAAAATGTCTGTTTGCCTTATTTCCTTTTTTTCAAAGGATATTTTCAAAACAGTAGTACATGTAAATGGGGATGTTTTCATACGCCGCCATGCCACGCCAAAAATTATATAGACGTCTCTTGATTTCAAAACACGTTCACTATTTCTATTTTATGAAAAGGAAAACAAAATATGTTCGAAATCCTTACTTTAAAGTATACATTTAGTAGATACCTAAGTAAATATACTTCAAACACTTCGTTTAGACAGAAACCGGAACCGCTCGTAAACAATAGGCATGTTTATATATCGTTATTATCTAGAGGCATCACAAGTATCATTAGCACACCTGAGAGCAAGGAGAACGTAACCATTCAATACAGCAGGGAACTCGTTGATGGAACAATTGATGCTAAAGTGGCCCAAGTAGAATTTTTTGCCAGTCAGGAAGGTGCCCGGCAAATTTGTTTAAAAGCATCAGACAGGTATTTGGAGTATTTTGCATATATAATAAACTTTTTAATTTCCTTTTTACCAGTACAGAAGGCTTTTCCTTTATTTATTTGTAATTTTGTTAAATGATTATTCGCTCCACATGAAATGTTTTTTTACACAATGTCAAACGTTAAACAAATTACGTGTTAAAATAATTGTTAACTTTAAGTAAAGATGTTCCTTAAATATTTACATTTTACCAATAATTTGTTGTTGAAGTACCAATTGTAACTATATTAAAAAGTTTCCTCCCAAAAAGCATTTCAAATATGGTCATTTGAATTAAAGAAATACAATTTTTGGTATAGTATACAGTCTATGCATGTGTTTTTATTTGATGATGCATTTTGAGAAAGTACTTTAAACATTATGCACAGTGTGACACAATAGAAGACTTTAAGGAACATTTGTCAGATTTTAAACGCAAAGTTTTTTTTGCAATTAAACACATACTGTACTAAGAGAAATATTTACGCCCGAATGACGACATAATAAACACGAGGGCTGGAGGAAGTACTGACTTCATAATAAAACATAGGTTCTCCGAATTTACTATCGTTATCTGTCTTTCTGTCAAACATGCCGTTTACATTCAATTAAAATGACTGAATCATCCAGCTGATTGTTTTTCATTTTCTTCATTTTTATTTCAGTCATGCTTTCTCAGACAGGTGTCTTTATGTTACGGTAGAATTACCAGGTAGAAGCTTCTTTTCAATCTGAGATAAGATCAAATATTCATTTAAAGTTATATTTACAGTTAAACAAAACATCATTCATTTTATTCTTTAGATCCCTGTGCATCAGAACCTTGCCAAAATTTGGGAAGCTGTCAGTCATTCGATAACAACACCAGATATAACTGTTTCTGTAGGAATGGATTCAGTGGAAATCTTTGTGAAAAAAGTAGTCTGACCTTTTGCACTAATGTCAAGTAATAATTCAAAATTAATGTTGATTTAAAAAGAAACAGTGGACAGTAACTGTAACCTCGGCAAAAGGGATACTAAATTTCTTTTGGTTCATCTAATATTTTTAGATCATCTGTATAAACTCAGCTGACCTATTGCTATTCGTTTTTTCGTCCTCGTGCATTGTGCGTCGTTCATCGTGCGTTGTGTGTTAATATTTGAACATTTTTAGCTTCTTCTCTGCAACCACTCAACCAATTTCAACAAAGTTTAGCATAAAGCATCTATAGATGATGGGGAACGAAAATCTTTAAAAATCTTCTTCTTTACTCCTGGACATCAAACAGTCAAATTGTTGGCATGATTGTAATAAGCATTAAGTCATCTACCACAAATTGTGAAATTCATGGCCCCTGGGTCAGGGGTTCTAGTGCTAGGGCGGGGTTAAGAAGATTATATAGTGAAAATGCATTAGTTCTTTGAAACTCCTGCTCCTAGATATTTCATAATCTTTTCAAGTACATAGTTATGTTGAATAAGGCTGTCTGTTCCAAACTTTTATGGCCCCAGGGTCAGGCTTTCTGATGCTAGGGCGAGGCTGCTTTGATTATATAATGAACATGCATTCTTTGAAAATCTTCTTCTCTGCTCGTAGGAATCAAACTATCCAAATACATAGTTATGATAAGCAAGAATATCTCTTCTAAACTTGTGAATTTCATGGCCCCAGAGTCAGGGGTTCTGATGTTAGGGCGGGGCCTTATTGATTATTAAGTGAACAGGATTGAATTCGTTGAAAATCCTCTCTGCTCCTGGGTATCAATCAAAGTAACCAAATACATATTTATGTTGAATAAAACTGCCTTTTCCAAAACTGTGAATTTCGGGGCCCAAGACAGGGGTTCTGGTGTTAGGTTCTAATGACTAAATACTGAAAAGTCTGAATTCTTTGAAAACATTTTCGATTGGTCCTTCGTATCATGCCAATGATATAAGTACATATTTATGAAGAAAAAAGGTGCCTCTTCCAAAGTAGTTAATTTCAGGACCCCTGCAAGGATCAAAGGTACAGGGCAGGGGTTGCATAGTCTGAAAATAAATTAATGCTTTGAAATCTGCTTTTTGGTATTTATCAACCATTTTTTCAAGAATTAAGGTATCATTTTAAAACATCTATTGTGATATAAATATGGGTTGGTCACGAGATTAAATCCATAAATCCTGAAGGGCTTTATAATGAGTTTGATCTCGTACCAACCCGTATTTATAGCCCGATATATGTTTTAAAATCTAATGATACCTTATCATTTATATTTACATTTGTGACTTATTCATACTTTAAATTTGCCTGATTGTGACTTTTAACGTGTGAAATGCATTATTTTTCAAACCAAAACGGCATGTATGTAATCCACTGAACGCGCGTCGACCCTTTATGACGTCACTGAGAAATTACATCGAACGTTTATCCATACGCACATCTATGACCTTTTGACCCCTTACCGGTATTTATGCAGTTATAGATACGCATTGCTTTCAGTAGTGTTATATAAAGGAAAACATTTGCAAGGGTAAATAAAATGATATAAAATTTATATTAAAACTTCCGAAATCTTAAAATATGTGGCCCCAGAGACAGTGGTTTGCCTGATTGTGACTTTTAACGTGTGAAATGCATTATTTTTCAAACCCAAACGGCATGTATGGAATCCACTGAACGCGCGTCGACCCTTTATGACGTCACTGAGAAATTCCCTCGAACGTTTATCCATACGCACATCTATGACCTCTTGGCCACGTACCAGTATTTATACATTTATAGATACGCATTGCTTTCAGTAGTGTTATATAAAGGAAAACATTTGCAAGTGTAAATAAAATGATAAAAAATTTATATTAAAATTTCCGAAATCTTAAAATATGTGGCCCCAGAGACAGTGGTTCCTGTGGATTGCACAACTGGTTATAAATGGAAATTTATTTTCTCTTTGTTACTCTGAACTACCTCTGGGTATTAAGTACCCAGAGTAAGAATGTTAACTGTATACTTATGATAAACAATGGGGCTTCATTCAAAACTGTGATTGTTCTGGCCTCTGGTTTAAAACTATGGAATCCGGATAGGGCCATGCAGTTAACTATCGCACCATCGAGTATCGACTAATAGGTCGATGGCGCGATAATGCGATGGTGCGATAACGATGATGCGATGATGATGGAGCTATGGTGCGATAGCGCGATGACGATGATGCGATCAAGCGATAATGCAATGACGATGGTGCGATAGAACGATAGAGTAAAAGTGAATATTGCTTCATCGTCATCGTACCATCGCGCCATCGTCATTGCACTATCGAGCCATCACTATCGCACCAACATGTTATTGCACCATCGCTTCATAGTGCTATCGCACCATCACCATCGCATTATCGCGCCATCGCTTCATCGTTATCTCACTATCGCAACGTAACTTCATCGTTATCGCATTATCGTGTCATTGCATTATCAGCCCAAACCTCGATGGTGCGATGATGCGATAGTGAACTGCATGGCCCTATCCGGATTCCATATAAAACACAGACCAAATTCTATTGCTGGAAAGTTGTTGCATGATACTCAGGTGACCTTTCAGGCCCCAGGGGTCTCTTGTTTTATATTTCTAGATTCTCAACACACTGTTGTTAAAATTGAAACAGGTTTATTTGATTAAACGCCTATTTTTACATAACAGTATTCAATGGCGTTGTACAATAATAGATAAAAATATCAACATTTAATATGTACAAATTTACATGGAAAGTAGTCGTTATAATAAAGCGTTAAAGTCCCTGAAGAAGTAAGTTTTAGGATATTTTTGAAAGTATCAATTGATTTCGATAATAAAGAATGGTAATTCATTCCACAATTTTGGTCCAATGCTCCTCAAACTTTAAAGTCATCATTTCGTAAGTTCTATGGTCGATACAATGACCTTGTCAGCAAATACAGTTTATCATTGAGTCAAAAGCTGACTGACGTTTTTCATACTAATTGTTTGTCCATTATTTATACACTGAATTGACGACGGATTTTCCAGTTATTTCCTGATCATGACAAGGAGCACACGGCTGTCAGCAGGGGATGCTCACTCCTCCATGGCACCTGATCCCACCTCTGATGTTTCGGAGGTCCGTGTTTGCTCTGCTCTTATTTTGTATTGTTTTATGGACTTTGAGATTGAATACTGTTCGTTATCTCCATATCCTACTTCTACTTCTGTTGTATTACACTTAGGTGACCATTTACATGTAGGCCCTTTGACCTCTTGTATAAGCTTTTCACTGGTCTGGTTGAATTTTGATATCTTTTATTGAACGTGTCATTTGTCGTTATTTAAGCATTTTTTGTATATCGTATTTTTTTTGTACTTTGACAGGAAATAAGCCATGTGACCCCAATCCATGTCTTTTTAACGGATCATGTCATGAAGTTCCGTTGCCTCCTTATTTCTTTTGCATATGTGTTGACGAAAGAAAAGGCGATCTTTGCGATATTGGTAAGATTATGGTTGTTCCTTAATTACGAAAAATCTGAGATGAAGAAATATATGACGACATTTTCTTATACATTACTTTCATTGTCCTGCTACATTGCGTTTTAACGTAAATCTATTAGAATAGTTTTATACATGGATCAATAATTTAAAAGCCTTATTTATTACTTTAATCCGTCATTCATGTATTTTCATTTACATCATTTGTCTCGTATGTGGCATGATATTATTTATGAACAGTTTTTCTATGAGTACATGTAATTATTTATTTACTTCCCTTGAATGTTGAAATATCTTGCTTACATTGGTTTCAATATGGCAGGTGACTCACAGTTATATTTCTATACAGGCAATTTCGCCAGATATGATCCACCTATGATCCTTATTTGAAAGACAATCATGTGTGGCGAAATTGCCTATGGTATGTCCGGCATGCGTTGAGAATAATTATTCAGCAGACGCATTGCCAAATAATTTTTTAGTATAAAAAATGTTTCTGAAACCTTTCCTATAATATTCTCAAATTAATTGAAAATACAGTAGTGGAGCTCTTCAAAAAAGTTGACTTATTATATATGCAGCAGTTAATCAAATATTGATCAATCAAAATGGAGCAGAGCCGTCTATGAGATTGACCAATACGAAATATTTCTGAAGACAATCAGTAACAACCCAATAAGTCATAGTAAACAGTCTGCGTTTGCCTGTTTTGTTCATCGTCCTATTGAGAATGCTTTAATCACATTGAGTCCCCTCCACTTACTGGAGGGCTGTACTCGGTACTTAAGGCTTTATACCTTTTTCCTGCCAGCACCAAATGTGACACGAGACTTCAGTGATACAGTCTTCTTCGAAGGATCGGTCTCCATCTCCCGCGGTGGTATTCGACCCTGCGATGCAAGGATCAATCCCTTACTAACACTATTGTGAGGGGATAGTAGTAGCATTTTCCTCCTTTTTTATTTGATTCTGTTTTGAATCATAATATAACATATACTATAATAGTATACTTGAACAGTACTAATAAGTGATCTGTTTATGATAGACCGATGCCAGGCACATCCATGCAATGCTACTCAAGTTTGTCAGACGTCTGGATCCGATGTTTGTATTCCCAGTAAGTTTTTAAAGTAACTTCAAAGGACATTTGATGGGGAAGGTGGTTTTATAATTAATCAATCTATACTTTAGTTGGCAAATTTACAAGTTTTATTTCAGCGATGGCTTTTGTAATCTTTATAAAACTTCGCAGTAATAACACCTCAGAGTGCACTTAACATTCAAAATGTCGCTGTTGATTTTCTATTTGTAACTGGTCGACTCGACAAAATATTCATCAGAGAGAAAAAATCATACATACATGTATTTTGTGAAATATATATTGATGTTACTTTAGAAGGTGTTAAAAAATATTTTAACCTTCTCTAGGAAGTACGTAGTTATGAGAAAAAAATTCTCACTGTAGAATAAATTTACCTCTACTTCATTTATATAGCTCACTTGCATTGAAAACCCTAAACCTAGCCTTCTCTAACTTGTATCATAAACTTTGTCAACAGAACAAGAGCATGGACAAGACACAACAACAGTAGCATCTGGTACTCATGACCAAGGAACTCCAGTATCAAATGTTTATTATAGAAATAATACAACAGTTTCTGGTTCTGAAAACCAAGGGGCAACAGCACGAACAACATCTGGTCATAACGCAACACAAGCAGCATCTCGACCTGTTGTAAATACACCAACAACATCTGGTTATGGTTCAATAACACCAAATGCGTCTGGTTCTGGTGCTATTACATCAACACTATCTGGTCATGTTGCAATTACATCAGTAGCATCTGGTTCTGATGATGTTACAGCAACTAGATCTGGTGTTAGTACACCAATAGGATCTGGTCTTGGCGCTAATATACAAATATCATCTGGTCAGGGACAATCTGCACCAACATCAACTGATCATGGTGCAACGACATCAATATTATCTGGTAATAGTGCAACTATTCCAACATCAACTGGCCATGGTGCAACTACTCCAACATTATCTGGTAATGGTGCAACTACTCTAACAACATCTGGTTATGGTGCAACTACACCAACATCATCTGGTCATGGTGCAACTACATTAACATCATCTGGTCATGGTGCACCTACATTAACATCATCTGGTCATGTTGCAACTACACCGACATCATCTAGTCATGGTGCAACTACACCGACATCATCTGGTCATGGTGCAACGACATCAATATTATCTGGTAATGGTGCGACTACACCAACATTATATGGTAATGGTGCAACTACTCCAACATTATCTGGTCATGCTGCGACTACATTAACATTATCTGGTAATGGTGCAACTACACCAACATCATCTGGCCATGGTGCAACTACTCCACCATCATCTGGTCATGGTGCAACTACATCAACATTATCTGGTAATGGTGCAACTACATCAATATTATCTGGTAATGGTGCAACTACTCCAACATCATCTGGTCATGGTGTAACTACATCAACATCATCTGGCCATGGTGCAACTACATCAACATTATCTGGTAATGGTGCAACTACATCAACATTATCTGGTAATGGTGCAACTACACCAACATCCTCTGGCCATGATGCAACTGGAACAATCACAGAGAGTCATTGTGATGTTTTGAAAGGTACGTATGTGTTTAGAAACTAATTTTACTTTAACTTATATCATTCGAGTATTACGATCAAATATTATATGTCCATCAAAGGTACATTTTTATATTCTCTTTTCAGCCAAAGAAAGAGCGGTATGTCCTTTTTAGCTCTACTTGTCAGAGCCCAGAAGAGTTTATACGATAGTAATGCGTCCGGCGTCCGTCCGTTTGTCTGTCTGTAAACAATTTTTTTTAATGCTACACCTACAACAGTTTTGGACTGGTTTCAATATAACTTGGCATACAAGTAAACTACACTAAAATACATAATTCTGTATATCGGTTGTTGATTTCAATGAGCGGTGTTGTCATGGTTACTGAAAATATAAATTTCTGTAAAATACTTTCAAAATGATACATCTCCTGCATTTTTGGTTTGATTACAACACAACTTGGCACACAAATTGACTAAGATACATAATTTGGTACATCGGTTTTTGATTTCTATGAACGGTGTTGCCGTTGTTACTAAAATAGAAATTTCTTTAACATTCTATAAAAATGCTACCCCTCCGACAGTTTTGGTCTAATTCCAATATTACATGGCACACATGTAGACTACACTAAGATACATAGTTCTGTGTATCAGTTTTTGATTTCCATGAACGGTGTTGCCATGCTTACTAAAAATAAAAAAATGTTAAATACTTGTTAAATTCTACTTTTCTCTTCCTTTGTTTTAAGTACAAACGAGTAAAGCTACAATATCGACATAGACTTCTTCTTCTTTTTTTTTTTTTTTTTTTTTTTTTTTGTTTTTTTTGTTTTTGCTTGCTTTTGTTTTCCTTAAAGTACGACGGCGTATTCGTGCCATATTGATAATGTAGAAAAAAATTTTAAAATCGTTTGAACGATTTAAGAAAACGTTTGTACAATTTAAGAAAACGTTTGTACAATTTGTTAAATCGTTTGTACAATTTGTTAAATGTTTGTACAATTTAATAAATCGTTTGTACAATTTGTTAAATCGTTTGAATAATTTGTTAAATCGTTTGTACAATTTGTTAAATCGTTTGTACAATTTGTTTGTTAAATCGTTTGTACAATTTGTTAAATCGTTTGTACAATTTTTATTTCTTGTTATTACACGTAGAAGAAGCGTAGTAGAAAACCTTGCACAAGTAGAAAATATATTCACGCCTGGTTTTAAAAATTATGACACGATGGATGACAGAGAATAATGGAACATGGGATATTTCAAGATGGGTTTCACTTTTTCGGAAATTGCACAGATCCTTTCTCAAACTCACCGAGTCTTTGTTAGTGAACGAACGTTGAAAAGGACAACAATTAAGTTGGGACTGTTCACACGTAAAAACAAATCCGACATAGAGGGTGTAGCTCTTTTCATTGAGGAAACAATTGAGTCATGTGGTCAGTTGCAGGGATGCAGGTGATTGTACTAAAAAGCTATTATGGCAGGATTTACCGTTTCTCAAGAATATATTCGATGTCATCTTTCTATACAAGGGAAGGGAGTGTGTTCGAGGAAAAGAAACAGATTAAGACGAAGATTGTACACTTACAAAGGTCCAACAACAACAATATTCAATTTCATACCGTTTAATGAACAAGATACAATTTATCATAAGTGTTTCTGTACCTGTTATAGTCAGCAGCGAAGGGACTTCTCTATGCAATAGCTTTACCAGGTTTCTTATCCAGTACGCTTCTGTTCCGAATCAGAAGAAAAAAAATCGTACAAACGATTTTCTAAATCGTACAAACGATTTTCAGAATCATTCAAACGATTATTTCTAAATCGTACAAACGATTTAATAAATCGTACAAACAGTTTAACAAATCTTACAAACGATTTTCTAAATCGTTCAAACGATTTTTTAAATCGTTCAAACGATTTGTAAAATTGTACAAACGATTTTTCAAAATTTTCTCTACATTGTCAAATTGGCACGAATACGCTGTCGTATTAAAGAATCTTCATTGGTTTCATTTATTTTGAATACTTTAAAGTAATGAATTAAGGTAGGATTCTTCCCTGGTTTCGAACTAGATGATATATCAATGTATGTGTGCTTATATCTCTTAAATAATAAGATGTAAGAGATTTAAAAGATCATTTTTGTTCTTTCCTAGTCACAATTGTACAACTTTAAATAGATATGGTAAACTGAGTTTGAAATCTAGCAGGCACTATGCATTGCATTTTTGGCGGAATGGTAACATGTGAAAATATCTTCTTTTCTGATTCTCAAAATTATTATAGAACAATGAATTTAGTTAAAATAACTTTTACAAAATAAAAACAACTTGAGGATTTTTCAAATGCTAGTTAAATAAATAACAAGGGGCTAAAGTTTTAGAATATATAAACTAGATATGATTTTCCAGACAAACTACAATAATTTATTATTAAGCTTTTTAAAGCTTTTAATCGAAGTACATATGAGAGCTAAAAATTCGTAGAGAGTGGGGTTTTTTTCTATTAGCAAACGATCAAAACTTTTTTTGTTGTTTTTTTTTTTTATCATGATAGCATTTACTAAGTGATATGTTTTCTTGTTTCTGGGAAAATTCAATTAATATTCAAATTGAAGAATCACACCTTACTGCAAACACACTCTCTCTCTCTTAAAAACAGTCATAAAAACGATCTTCCTATAAATATATTATTTATTTTTTCATCTCAAGTAAGGAACAAACCTGACACATGGCAAAGGAAAACAATTTATACAAATATATCCCTCCGTCACTGTCTGCCCAATGATTAAGGATTAAGTTTATTAGTTCTCCTTTTTTTCCAGAAAAAGGGACGAGTGGAGTGTTTTTGTCCATATCCAACTTCAGGTGCAAGGACAAAGGTGATTACTTTGAACCCTCGAGTTTCACTAGAGAGGTTGTTACTGGCAGCGGCCCTTGGATCAGGAGCTATGATCATAATCCTTGGATTGGTTGCTCTGTTATACGTCATCACTCAAAAATGTTTCACTTCTAACAAGACACACACTGAGCTTAATCCAGAAGAAAAACCACCAAAGAAGAAAATAAGCACTGTTTGCATGACTGACAAAAAGAAATAGATTCAATGTGTTTTTCATTGAATAATGTGTATATTTAATCAAAAGTATTTTCATCAAGAATTTTATTACTAATAAAAATGATTAAATTTGCACGATTAGTTTATTGATTTGATAGTTTAATGAATATTTAGAATTCAAATTTTTTGTAAACTTTTATTTTTCCAAAAACAAAACAACAAATTTGTTCAATAAATTCCTAACGCAGATATTGTAAGCAAAAACAATATATGTTGTTTTGTTCAATAAGGACATTCTTTTCGTACAAATTGTTAGGCCTTTATTATAACACTTATTTGTGTTATGTTTTCTCTTTACCCAATCTTAACAGGAGCACTGGCAATAGTGACTGGTTGACAAGGAATGGATAGAGAAAATAAAGAGTATTCAAGATTAGAAGTCCGGTAAACAATTCAAATAGGAACAGAGCAAACACAAACCACCAAAGCATCAGAATAGGGATCAGGTGAGATGAAGGAGTGAGCATCCCCTGCCGACCGATCACAACCGCCATGTGCTGCTTGTCAAAATTGGGAAAAATACGTCGACAATTCAGTGTGTACGTAAGGGTTAATGTACGAGTAGCGATTCATTCCTTAAAAGTAATGGAGCCGAGGCGCCGAAGGGGCCGAGGCCCATTACTTTTAAGGAATGGAGCGCTACGAGTATATTAACCCGCGTAAAATCGGCCTTTCTGAATGCTTGTTTTTATTGTTTGTTAATACATAATAAAGAATTTTTATATGATACATTGTAAATACTTTTTACATATTAGTAGTATTGTTTATATATAATAAAGAAAGAAAACTAAAAAAAAGTGTACTGTAGTTAATCTAAACCTTTTCATCTCAATAGTTTCGTTAGCTCAGTGAAATGAGCATCGGACTGCTATGGTGAGGGTACTGGGTTCAATTCTCATCATGGGTGCACTAATTTTCTTAATGTGAAACTTACCTTTACAATTTTCTAGAACTCTTCTCTAAAATTTTCTAAGTTCTTTCCTTAGTAGAGGCACGGAAAGGAGAATAAGACCATAACAAATTCCGTTTTCAATGTAATTTGCAACTCTCCATTCCTTATAAGTAATGGAGCGCTCAAACAAAAGAATGACGTCACAGGTGGATTTTACTAGTATATAATGGCCTAACAATTGGTATGAAAAACGTCAGTCAGCATTTGACTAAATGATAAACTTCATTGGCTGATAAGGTCATTATATCGAAAAGCTGTCTCCTTCATGACAACTGATTCAATCTCAAATGTCTTAGAGTTCAATGTTTGTTTTGCTCCTGGTTTTTAACGAGGGGGGGGGGGGGGGGGGTGGCAGCCATTTTCAGACTATTTCGATCTCCTTTAAAAGAAGAGGTCCATATAAAGATATAAAAAATGATCAAATTTTAAAACTAAAATGTATGAATTTTTTCTTTGCCAAATAAAAGCTGACGGCTTAAGACACCGTATCTTAAAATATAAGTTAAATCTGGTGGTTAATTTGTGATTAATTTGTTGACCCCCCAGCCTCCTTAATGTTCCAATGGAGTTTGATTTGGTTACTGTTTACTATCTCTATTTCTAAAATTATGTCAAATCGTTATGACTAAGTTTAACTTCAGCAAAACAAATGTCTTCTGTTTGCAATAAGTTTTAATGACATCCAATCAAGATAAATTTTTACTCATATGAAGCATGTTAAGTCTCAAATTAAAACCGGTCATCAGCCGGTACAGGGCTGCAAATTAGACCAATGGCCTTTGAGCAAGGAAGGTTTTTTTCTCATGACAGCACCAAATGAGACATGTTGACTTAATGTCATATTGTATTCATTAACTCACTAGGTTATTCCATCGAGCATAGAACATGAAAAATGATGCCTTAAGCTAGCGTATTGAATTTACATCTCTGTTTCATCTTCTTGTATAAACAACTAAGTATGGAACACTGACAAATCAGCTATTGTGGTATCTTTTATTTCAAAGTCATTGGGATATGTGTGCTACATATGAATGGTAGAAAGTTCTATTGTTAATTGGTAATATGGCATCAATTTGTTATAGTAAATGCCAAGTTGACGACCCCAAAAAGAGTTCTTTGTTAATCATTTCCACCTTGATTTACGGTAGATCCGTTGGTAAAGCGCTCGCTTACAATCAAAGCTGCGAGTGATCAAGATGTACAGTGTAAGGTCTAAAAATATAGGTAGGAACTGTTCTTTTGCAACGTGAACGGCACTTTGAAGTGATAGGTGGGGGTCTTTCGGATGAGACTTTTAAGACCGAGGCCTTGCATCTCGGTAGCCTTTGGCGCGATAAGGATACGTCACTGCCCGATGAACTTGAGTGCCGAGTAAATATGCAAATTTGAAGCCCTTCATCGATATATGATAACTATATGATAAACTATATGATATGATAGCTATATGATAAACGTGATGACTTTAACTTTTCTATCGTCAACTTCCCTTACTTGTGAAGCAATATACCGTCATCACCTGCATACGGAGTATATATATCTCAGTTGATTCGATACGCAAGAGCATGCTCTAACTTATGAACACTTTCTAAAACGAGGTAAATTATTGACAAACAAGTTGATGAAACAAGAATATCAGCAGTCTCGTTTAAAGTCATCATTTCGTAAGTTCTATGGTCGATACAATCATTAAGCCAAATGCTGACTGACGTTTTTCGTACTAATTGTTAGTCCATTAATTATACATTGAATTGACGACGGATTTTTCCGTTATATTCCGATCATGACAAGGTGCCCACGGCGGTTGTGACAGGTCGGTAGGGGATGCTCATTCCTCCATGGCACCTGATCGATATCTCACCTCTGATGCTTCGGAAGTCTGCGTTTGCTCTGCTCCTATTTTGTATTGTTTTATGGACTTTGATATTGAATACTGTTCATTATCTCCATATACTTCTTCTTATGGTAATATCTCTATGAGTGAAAAATTCTCAAACAGGGTGTAAAACAACATTCAATGAATCTTCTTATATCTAGCTTTTAAAAACTTGTATGATATTCTCCTAAAACATTTCTTCCATATAATTTTTTAAGCATTTTTCTTCTGACGAATTTTCAATATAAATTAAAAACATGTACTAGCTGCAGATCTGTAGCTCTCCGAAAAAAAATTATTGATAGACCGGAGAGCTACAGAGTCACCCATTGAAAAAAATGTATATTTGTTGCGCACAAAAAAATGCGCTCGGTTCTCGATTTATTTCTCCATGTTTTTAATGCTGTAATCTTAAAATATTACTAACCGTGTGTTCCTAACATATTCTTTGACTCTTTCCACAACAAAACATTCTTCATAATTGTTGTTAATAGTCCTCCTGGCCCTGATATTGCAATCATCGGACATTTCGCTGATTTATAATGCCATTTTGGTTTCAAAGATAATTCGGTCCAATATGCTTCGTTCATATGTCAACTACGAGAGAACTTGATAGAGGAGAGAGGATTTTTTTTAAATCTTCCATTTATTTGCAATTGAGGTAAGAATTTGGAAAAATTAATCAAGAATCGAGCGCACTTTTTTGTGCGCAATAAATATACAGTTTTTTCAATAGGTGGCACTGTAGCTCTCCGGTCTATCAATATATATTATTTCGGAGAGCTACAGATCTGCAGCTAAACATGTACATGTACTAGGTGGCAATGTTGTCATGTTTTTGGTTAATAAAGGACTAGAACAACATTTACATGTATAATTGAATAACGTTTTTTTATTGTAAAGGTGTCAGATGAAGAAAATGTCACGTGTATCACGTTGATCCTTGCAAGTATATTAAAACGCCTTTTCTGTCTAAAATTCTCCGTAATGGTTGTTTTGGCATATGTTATACACAATATCTTAGTTCTTCTTTTGGTATCATCGTATAACCCGTGTTTCTATTTTGAGATCAGACAACCAATAAACTCCTCTACTAGTTTTATTCAGTCTGATAATCAGTTCGTTTGCCCCCTGCTTCAACAGATCAACTGGAACGTTGAAAGTATCTTCTCCAAAGTTATCCCACCTCGCATCTGAATAACCCATCACAAGCACCGAATCGTTCACAAATATGTCAATCACCCCGTCACAATTTGTCCGACAATGGTTCAATGTTAGCACCATGTCCTTCACAAGCTGATTGCCAGGTAAGTTGATTTTGATGATGGCAGCACTTTTATCAGGGTAGAAGAGAAGTTTATATGGTCTTCCTTTCCTGTACTGATCAGTCGTTTCCGTCATGACGTATTGTATTACGTCACTTGTGACGTTATTGGTGTCTATCAAGACGGTTTCATTCACTTCTAAAATTATATTTTAGAAAAACATGATTAAGAAAACAAATTATTAATCTCTGTACATGAAAATCAATTAAGAGTTTGTGAATATAAAACATCTTTTGGCATCAAGATCTTAAACGTTTTGACCATAGAAAACCATCGTCTCAAGCCACGGTCCGGAGTCCGCACATAGCTCTCTCCTACCCGTGGCTGCTTGATCACAAAAAGTGTCGAAATCTTGAATATTTACGCCTCTCTATCGTGACGTCATATTCAGTCAAAGACAAGTTTTGTTTCCATTGCAATTGAAATCAACAAATTGTATCATTGTTGCGGTGTTTTTCCTTTGATCGAGGATCACTGTGTTTTTATTTTTGATATATCATGGCTAACTGTGATCTAACAACCCGTGATCTATCAAGATAGAGCACGCCATGGTGATGATGAAACAATTCTAATAAATGATCCATGACCTTACACCGAATAATTAGGGGAAAAGTAAATACAAAGTCATGTAAACATAGTGAAGGAATACCTTCCCTAAAATAAAAAAAATAATTTTGCACGTCGATTTTTAAATCCAAAATGAAATTCAATCACACAGCGCGTTTTGAAATTAGACCCAAATATTTTTGACTCTCATAAACTTGTAGCGTAACAAAGCATACAATGAACTAGGCCTACAAGTACAGGAATTGAATTGGGTAAATATTCCGAGCAGTCTTGTTTTATTAATTCCAACACAAATCGACACATCCAGTTATTTGGAGAATCGCCGTACATCTCGGTCAAAAGTGTCCATTTTCCCGTGCATTATTCCCGTGAAAGTTTAAATTGCCCATTGTATTTTTACGAGTGTTAAGATTAAATAACATAAAGAATTTTCCTTCATAATTTCAGTTTGCATAGAGAATTGCAATGGCATAAAATCACAACCGTCAACAATGGCGTTCAGACTTGAATGGCGAGGTAATTCTAAAGTTTAAGAAATGCAGCGCGCTCTACTTTTCCAATCACGTGCTCCCTTTTCATTCGTCAGATAAAATTGTATGATGAAATTTTGATAGATCAAAGCTAACTCAGTGCGTGAGAATACAGTCGAGCTGCATGCTTTTAACGTAAAAATGATAGATCATGGATAACTCAGTTTCTGGGAACAATGAAACAAAACATATAGAGTACCTTTTCACTCGTGCATCTTCAGATATCAGACTCGGGGGACAAGCCCCCTCGTCTGATATCTGAAGATACACTCGTTAAAAGGTACTCTACATATTACTTACATCAGCAGTATTTCGTACACTGCGATTGGGTATTGAAAGTTCGCATGAAAAATCAATTTCCGACTATGCTTTACTCGCATTGGTCAATATATCATGTTGTAAATTTTGAATTTACTGGGGGGAGGTAAATGCAAAATTTACAACATGATAACTAGTTATCACGTTGTAAATTTTGCATTTACCTCCCCCTAATAAATTCAAAATTTACAACATGATAAATACTTCAATGAGCTAAGAGAAAATCTCGTCACATGCAACCACGGCCAGAATGGGAGATGATCGTACATTTTGGCCGTGGTTTGCGACGATGATAGAAAAACCTGTCTTTAAAATTGAAACATCAGTCATAATATCAACAAATTAAATCGGCACTGAAAAGGTTTCAGGACTATTGGCCTTTGACACATTTAAACTGACGACCTTAATCTTTATTTTGTTTACGAACAAACCAAAACACCCCTGCTATATTTAGTTTAATATAATTACATTTAAATGGTCCGTGCCTGTTTTCAGAAAGTTTTTAATAGAGTTTTTTTTAACGGAATATGAATGAACCTGTAAAGAAATATTGATCTCATTCTATTTTTTAATAACCTCCATTAATAAATCAATAAAAAAAATTAGCTGTCAAACTAACCGTTCTGCCTCGTACACGAGATTTTGGTGGGAATCTCCGGCGCTCCATCTTGCGGGAACCAGTGTCGTTTCTGAGTTCCAGACATTACTCACTGCGCTGGTCTCCCTTAAAAAGACCTTTGTTTTGACCTGAATCGCGAAATATGCATTATTGCTCAATAAGAATTTCATCAATAATTTTCTCAATGGCCGACAGGTTTTTAAATCCCCGTTCCCTTTAACTTTCCCGTTTGTAAATACACATGTTCACACTGATTAGGCGAAACGATAAGAATTAATTATCAAGCTTTTATCCCGTGGACAATACATATTTCATTATTTACAATCCTAGCTTTTTCCTAGCTTTCTTTCAAAATTAATGAAAAAGTTATTTCATTTTTTTAAACCATTAAACCCCAGTCTTTATTAATATTGCAATCTCTTCACAAGCAATTGTTCTCCAGCATTATTTTTCTCAATATTTCGTGTAGTTTATAAAACTCCCTATAGAAAAGCAATACATTAATTCCTTGTGTTAAGTGCGCTGCATTAAACTTCCACAAGCATTCCTGCGTTCCCCAGAGTCTTGATTGTCATTTAAAGTTTGTCAAATCATTATTTGATAGATATTAAATCTACCTGTTATTATTGAGATGTTGATGATACCCTATATAATACCGGAATTAATGTCGCTCAATAGAGCTTTTATTGACAGAATTTTGACAATTTTTCAATATTTCAGGTTTCGGTTCGTTTAGCCTCTTGTTCTGCAGTGATTATGTGTATCACTAAAGCACGATTGTACATTTTTAAAGAGGCCCTATGAAGTTTAACATCCTTTCTTTGTTTATCCAGTCTCTAAAGGAATTGCTAATCGACTCTGTGTTTACCTCAAAGAAGGCAACTTCAGAAGTTTTATCACAGACAAATGTATCACAACAGCTTTTCAAAGCGGGGAAATAGTACAAATCTTTACCCGCAATTTAAATACCCCAAGTTCCCCTGGCCTATATCAGATTTCATGTCTGGGGCTAGAAAAGATTGTAGTATATACCAAAAAACCGGACAGTACTAGCATAAGATCGTTCTATCATCCCTGGTTCTGAATCAGCAAATTCACCGGTAAGTGTGTCAAAGTGTACAGAGACTATTGATTTAGTGAAATACTACTTGCAATTTCGGTGAATATTTCATGAATTTAGATGTTAATTAGGTACTTAAAAACAACGTTACTATATTTTTTTTCACAAAATGCTATCGTGTTGATTTAGTTTTAATGTATTAAACATCTGATCGATACCTCTTATCCGTGGGCATCTTTAGTGACGATTTTCATTCGCCAGAACATTTTCAAAACTGAAGGTTGTAATTTTTTATTAGTTCATTGGAAACTGTTGAAATGCCTTGGAAGTGGGGGAAAATCAGCGACCTTGACCTTGAGTTGGAGGTCAAGCGTTGTTACCAGTCGTTACTTGAAGCACAGGAAACCAATGACAACTGCGCTAGGACGCACGAAAACGTTGGAAGGGTAATGGAGGGAAAAATAGATGAGAATTTCTTTCCCGGAAAATGGCGCTTTTCGAAACCCAGTACGTAATTATATAAGCCAGTTACATAAATTAATATCTTTATATTCTTTTTCTATCTTTGCATTGTTTAATTTTAAATTATTTGTTTAATTTTTTAGGAGAAATTTATACAGACAGTGAAAAAATGGAGGAGAAATATTTCACTAGCTTTGAGATACCTAAATTTGAAAAACCTCTAAGTGTTTCGTCGCCATATCCAAAAACTACCTTTTTGAAATCCAAGTTTTTAGTTCCCAAGACAGCTCCATCTTACGATGAAGTCGAAGTCCCATTCACCAAAAGATCAATACACAACGGAGACTTGGACAGCGAAACTTCTTACATTCTCCCCTCAGTAAAACTGGAGGAAGAAAGGTCAATCTTAAGTAGTATCTCCACAATTCCGGAAACCACACTAACAGATGAAATATTCAGACAAGGGGAGGACGTGAATTTTGCCGACATTGAGGGCAAGACGGGACTACATCATGCTGCCAGGCGCGGACAGATCCTGACGGTGCAGCAGCTGATAAAAGATGGCGCCATGGTGAACGCGGTGGACGAATCCGGGAAGTCGCCTCTCATTTACGCGGTGGAAAACGGCTTCACTGCGGTGGCCAAAGAATTAATCGAACACGGCGCTTATGTGAACCAGAAAGATCAGGACAGAGAAACGGCACTGAAGCTCGCCACTCTTAGTGGAAAGAAATACCTGGTGAGTGTCCTTTTAAAGCACCGTGCGTCAGTTTATATTCTGGATAAAGACATGAAAGCAGCTCTTCACTATGCAGTGGAGAAGAATTTCCCGGACATTGTGGAGCTGTTGATTGAATTCGGGGCACCTGTTAATCAAAGTGACGGACAGCAACGGAAGCCTTTGCATTATGCCGCAGAGAAAGGTTTTATATCAATTGTAGAACTACTACTAATGAAGGGCGCTTCCATCGACAGTATGGACCGAGACTTGCGAACTCCGTTATTCCTGGCCGTAGAAAAGGGACTTGAAATTATGACAAACATCCTGATATCGAAGGGGGCCAACGTGAACGCCGCAAACCGGCGACGCCAGACACCGCTACATATTGCCGCAGGAAACGGATTCATTGGCATTGCTCTTGAACTCATGACAAACCGAGCAGGTGTCAATAGTCAAGATGACCTAGGACGGACACCTGTATTTTATGCCGTCCAAAATCGAGACGTCAACATGCTAAATACGCTTATACGACACGGTGTACAAATGGATAGCTGCGATACGGCGGGAAAAAGTATTTTGCGATACGCCATTGAAACCCATAGTGAAGCCCTCATTTACATAGTGGCCAGAGCAGAAATGGACCAGTATACACTTAAGCGCCATGTTTATCATCGTCAGCTTTTGACTGCCATTGAAGAAAAGTGTGAGTTTTTGGGGAAGACGGTATGGAACTACGTCATCGATCAATGTACACGTCACTGTGCTGACGAAGTGGAAAGTCGACAGATGACGGCCACTGTTCATGTTCTTCTGGAAGCCACTTGTACAGCCTTCTCACGTGCAAACAAGCACATGATTCTAAAAGCAGAACCGCATCTGAGAAATGATAAACCTGAGAGCCCGTATATTGTGGCACACGTGATCACACTGCCGCCAAAAAGACCTCTGACATTTATGGGATTGTCGATTGTCTACAAAGTTTCGGATTTCAGGGAAACTTCGCTTTCAAGTTCCTTCAGCAAACCAAAGTAAAATGAGAACTGGTTACGAACGTCTACATCCTTCTAGAATTGCCAATGAAATACATGTTACGTTTATAATGTTTTACTGTTTTGCATTGTGTATGTTTTTTTAAATAAATTTTTTTCATATACTCTCCTTCATTCATATAATGACAATCTGTTCTTATTCACTTTGATCAATGAAACCAAATAACAGTATTTTGCACCTCTACCACTAGAGATTCTGTCATATAATCACAAGTAATGTGCAGGTACAACTCTGTAAAGGTACCACAGAACACAGTCCCCTGGACATCCTAGAATTAAGTGGGAATCAGGTGGATAGGAGGAATAAGTATCCCCTGCCAAAAGGTCGCAGCAGCCATGAGCGGCATTTCCTGCTCCCATTTACATTTCCCATGCACCTTTATTGTCTATGGGCGAATTTACTCTTAAACCCTCGTACTGTCAGAAGGGTCATATATGGGCTCTTCGAACTGGATGCCTCGGAGGTCATATATAACCAATCAAAAATATTTCGTGTGAAGCCTTGATATTTTCAATGATTAGAAGCCAGTTGTGTTTGAGAAAAATAAAATCCTTTGCTAGTTAATGGGCAAAAAGAACAAGTGGCAAAAATAATACTGAGTAAACAAGAGGCCCATGGGCCACATCGCTCACCTGAGAAGCTTTGACCATTCCGTTCTTTACCAGATTTCCTTGTAATACTTAATGCACTCCAGCTCTACCCCACTGATCATAATTTAGACATTTTGAAATCTACACTACCCCAGGATGCTTCCATGTGCACAAAAGTTTCAGCTTTTTTGGCCCAGTGGTTCTTGAGAAGATTTTTTAATGACCAAACCCTATTTTTGTCTTTTCTTGATTATCTCCCCTTATGAGGGGACCTTTATTTTAACAATTTCAATTCCCCTTCACCCAAGGATGCTTTGTGCCAAGTTTGGTCAAAATTGGGCCAGTGGTTCTTGAGAAGAAGTCGAAAATGTGAAAAGTTTACAGAGGGACAGACAGCTAGATGGACAGACAGATGCATGACGGACAAAATGTGATCAGAAAAGCTCACTTAAGGCTCAGGTGAGCTAAAAAGTATTTGGCATGTATTTACTTATTATACTTTACGGCTTATACTTTACATAGGGTGCTTCATTAAACAATGCTGAAAGATTCAGCTATAGGAAATTACCACCTCTCTCTATTAATTAAGATAAGGGCGTGGCAATTTACACACAAATAAAATTAAAGAATGATGTCATGTATAGAAAACACACCGATTTATTTTAAACATTTATTCTGAAATAAAAAGTTCTAGTTGAACAAAACAAACAGCATTATACACTTAGAACTACTTCATAACAAAAGTCAACTCGATTCAAAAAGGTTTGGACACACAGCTAAAAATTCTGAACTGACAAATTTGTTTGTATTGTTGAGAGTATACATTAAGGAAATAAATAAAAACACCGGTAAGAAGAAATGTATCAACAGATGGAAGCTACTACATTAAGTTTGAAGAATTCGCAACTCAAATCATACTTTACAAAACTTACATTTTAATTTGCTTATTTAAATATAATTATGCATTTTGAAAAATTTCCAGCACCACACGAAGAATTTTGCAACATGAACTCAAATATTATACATATATATGCTGAACACTATGCATGTGAAAAAAAATTGAGCAAGACTTAAAATTAAATAATTACCTTTTTGATAACTATTAATATCAAAAGTGATTAAAAGTGAACATCATTTATTGCAGAAGTAAATTTAATTAGAAATGAATATCATAGACTTAATTCAGTTTCCTAATCAAGATGGCCAACAGAGGAAGTTTTATAAAATTCAAAATACTTCACTAAAAA